TGGATCTGCAGTCCAGGGGTAACTTGTAATGCAATGACTATGTTCCTTGTCATAGCGCAAGTTGTCCCTAATCTCAGTTTTTGTTCTTCTTTAGAGGAGTATCTGTGACCTACAGCTGGACATTTTCCACAACGGCATCCACCACAATGAGGAGTTACACCGACACACAGATCATCTCCCATGATGAAGTTGTTCACATAACCTTGAACAGTAGGATGTTTATTTGGCAAAGTGAATTCTGGATGCGAAAACATGTGACGTGAATGAATTCTGTCCGTTGTCATCAGGTAACTTTCATGGACGGTTTTGGCAAGACAGCTATCAATCACTGTGTCATCTTTGAGCTTTCATTGTAAGCAGATTCCCAATTCACCATTCTTGATGCTAAGGTTGTCACCAGCAATAGCAACTTCAGTTTTTGTATAGAGTCCAAAATAGTCTCAACCAAGCAAAATGTCAACTGTGTCAGAACGTCTTTGAAGTAGGTTGATGTTGTATTCTAGAAACATTTCTGTCAGCACTTCAGTGTCTAGTTTACTGACTTTTCCAGCAATCTTTTCTTTGCGCGAAGACGATCTGCTGTTCTGTGCGTTATGTATGTTGGGTTGGATCCACCATCGCAGAACACTGTTGCTTTCTTTATATACCGGATACGAAGAAAGTGCTGCAGTTGACAAAGTATGACTTTGTACCATACGTTTTACTGTTTCATCAGTCTGTGGACTTTCTGTGGTTCCCAAAACAAATGAAACATGCATTCCATTAGAAACTTCAATCTGCCTGACAATGACTGCTTTATAAACTCATGACATTTCTCTGTGGTATGGTTTATGCCCTTCCTTCTGTGTTCACGAAAAGCACATGAATAAGACTTTTTCTGTGTCAGTTGTTTGTGACTGCATGAATTTACTTGAACATGGGTTCTGTACAGATGTACTTGTAGCCTTAGATATTGTAGCATACACTTCTCTCATCATTCTGTCTACAGAATTGTTTATTTCTTCCATGGTTCTCTGCTCTATATAGAGATGTTCTGGTCCTAACAACTTCAACAGAGTTCCTAACTGATTTCATGGAAACTCACAACTGGTCAACTGTATCTCTATCATACTGAAGACTGTGAAAATCAGGATATGGTGATTGAAGATAACATTCCATTTCTTGTAGCAAGCTGCTAATTTTTTTCATATTCCTCTTCAAAGTGTCATGACAAAGGTCCTGCATTCTTTTGGTTTAATGCTAATTGTTCAGCTGTATTGATTCCTGAAAATTTGTTTCTGGCTTCTTTACATACTTTAGAAACAATGTCCCTGTATTCTACCTGATCTTCACCATCTACTGTATAGTGTTCCCCTTCTATGGCCTGGGTATATTCACTATAAATATCAAGAAAATCATTGTAGGCTTTCTCAAGTGTAATCATTAAATTGTGAAGAATTTCTTTGTCATGATTTCTCTGGGCAGTGCTTATTAATCTCTTTGAACAGATTAATACTGCGAGCATGGTCTTGCTAAGTCCTTGTTTAATTGTGTCAATCTTCAAGTTGATGATACTTCAAATTCACTGTCTAGAAATAGCTGCTTTCTTTTAAAACAGCATTTTGAAAGTTTTACAACACTGTTACAACACGGTTCCAACACATACATGAAAGTCACTTGCGACTTGATGAAACATTCATGAGAAATAGATGTAACTGCGTTGAAACTCAAGCATAACCTAGCGTAGTAATAGATTAAAGTAATTTGAAACGTTAGGTGAAACTTTCCTGGCGAATACAGACTTAAACCTGCTTTTTACTGCAAACTAAACCTTCAAAATTATCTCTTCATGACACAAACTGGGTGGCTTTCTTTTAACCGTCAACTTCCGCCCATAACGTCCCCAATCAGAGTTATCCCCCTTGATTCCAAAATCACTGTGAGCAGCGAGTTGCACTCAACTTAATAAAAGTGAATGTCTTTGAATAACTGATTCCAACACAGCGTTGGTTTGACCATGGACCAAGGAATGAAATTCAAGCTTCTGGTGAATTCTCTTTCTGATAAATATTTTAGTTGCCTGTTGAATCCCAACCTGTCACCAGTAGAAGATCTCAGCAAACAATCACTATGTAGTTCATTTGCACTGTGCTATGACACATTCAAAAACAAAACGGGCAATGCAGAATTTATTGGTGGTGCATGTGGGGACATTGCGCCAGTGTTAAATGGAGACGCTAAATAGAAACAAATACTCGACTTGAATTGAAAGGAGGCCTAGTAGCTTGGCGGGAAATCAAGTACATCAATTCATGCTTTTTCGTTACAGAAGGAGCACAAGGGTAGGGAAGTTTGGTTCAGATACAAACTGGGCCAAAAGGTTTTAAAGACAGTTTAAAGGCTTGAACTATTCTCAAAAACCTGCAACGGTGGTACAAGAGCATATTTTCAAACAGCAGTATTACAAGCAACATGATCGACATGATAGTTAACGACATTTTGTCCAAGAGTACAATTTATAACTGCAACAAATGTACACAGCTTCTTAACACGGACACATCGTTTGAGCTTAGAAGGTTCTTAAATTCATACGGGTTAGGAAAATTATATTATAGTGGATTGACGAACTTTGGTTGTGGTTCTGTAAAAAAACGAGAACGAGCTAATGAAATCTGTCAGCAATAGCAGATGAATTACACAGACAATAAATAATTTGTGGTAAAACCACGACGCATATACTTTGCTAAAGCATATAACGTGTGATGCAGTACAGATCTATCAGAAAACACATCTCGAAACAGTCGGTTGGTCTCAATATCGACATTGTGTACAGAGATAGGGTAACGCCGGCTGTATCCTCTCTATGGCTGCTCAGATATCTGATATCAGTAAAGATCAGGTTTGAACAACCCATTGGAACGTTGGTTACAAGATCACAAAGGGAATAGTGCGAATGTGTGCTTCCCAAGCATGCAACCTGTAACATACTAACACGAGACAGTTGTCTGTGCTAAAAATATTCTTTTTATGAACCGCTCTGAGCAAATGCACCTAGTATTGTACGGAGGACAGTCTTAGTCGAGGTCCGTGTTAACACAGTGGACAGGAAATCTTAACAGTGGAAATTGGACTTTCTTGACAAACAACACACTTGTATAACTTTTCTTATCAGCTCTGGTGTCACATTTAAATACTTCTTTTATCATTACGAAATGCCTTTTCCAACTTTTCTAGGAAGGGACCTAAACAATTTAAAAAAACGTGTTTATCTTTTACTCTGATTGAGTGAATGGCTACAGTCTGACAGCTAAAGGGCACCACAAATGGGCTTTGTACCCATGCTGAGATTCGAACCCGACCCGACGTCGCCTGGGCTACTCCTCCCCCCTGCCATAGCACTATGTACTACGGATTTCGCGAAATATTCAGGAATGCAGTTTAACCAAAGTTCTGAAATCAGGATATACAATAGTATATTCGGAAGAATAGACACACAGAACGAAAGCAGCAATGACAAAACATTACATTATCGTGTTGTTCCCGTGACACATCTGACCCCTGCCACCTAAATGCCTTTTCTGAAGTAAAGACCCTAGAACCAAAAGCTCAATCACGGGTAGTTGTCCTGTCTCTAACCTGTCTCTAACCAGTATTCGTCACGTGGTACAATCTCCCCCTACACCTACTGGGGGGAACGAGGGAATGAAGGTAAGTTGGCATGCGGGTGATATTTGCCAGATTCTCGGTTCGCTGCAATACTACCAATGACCAGCGACAGGTATAACGACATCATTAGTAAATTTAGAATCGACAAGATGGTAATGGTCTTATAATGTGTATTCGAGTCCTTCCTTCTGCTGTGTTGCCTTCTCTGCTGTCGTCATATACAGGTGTATGGATATCTACACCCTAATCTGAGGTGGATCGATCTGTGAACATAACGGCACATTGCCTCCAGTCTGTAAACTACCATGGCTGTCACCAAGCCTGCAATGATTCATACTGGCTAGTGATGTTGCGTTTATTGGGGCAGGTCCATTTTACCTAATGCAACTGGGTTCAGTGCAGCGTTTGTTTGCGTGACAATACACGTACATGGCTCTGTTAAAAGCGACTTTGGTGATAACTAAACTGCTTTCATGAGAGACAAGTCGAAAGAATTAAGAAGCTTATTATTTCGTATCACATTGTATCAGATGGATAATGGCCAATGGATTGATTGGATAAACATAACGCATCTACGCTGGAATGCTGGTGAACATTCATCATCTACAACGTCATGGTTGCCATGTGCACAAGTCACGTATTTTGCCCCATGGTGCAGATTGAAGATGTTTAGACGTCCCCTTGAACGTCCACGTGTTTAGCGGAAGTAGTGTGATTATGTTGACACCAATTATACACAATGGCAGAATCAATCTGGTTATTTTTTGTGGATTCCAGCATGATATCACCAAACCAAACAGCCAACCGATTCATAGCTTAACCAACTCGACATATTCAGACCAGTTTCCTCACCAAATGTCAACCCAGACAAACACAGAATGAGCGACAGCTTCAACCACAGTCGCGGCCAAGTGGACGACCATTCCCTAATTAGTACTTTCATGGATTCTTTCGGAAGAGATATCAGGCTGTTCTTGACTCCCAGGGTGGGCACACAAGATACTGATTGCAGAGGGCCTTGATCTTTGACGTTTACTTTCTCCCCACTTCTCCAGAACACATGCCATGTATATATTCATCAGTCGAAACGCTTGTATATTTACAAATTTGAAATGAACACTTACTATCGTGTAGATATTTTTCTGTATTTCACATGCATTTTCTGTTTGTAGATGGCGACGTCTCAGAACCTGGAGGAATATTTCCTCACATGCACCATATGTACAGAGGTGTTTGACAATCCATGAACCCTTGTCTGTTATCACACGTTCTGTCGGAAATGTGTCGTCAACTACACCAAAACCAAACTAGAAGCCATCAGTGCCAAGTCTCTGCTGTGTCCTTTCTGCAGCAAGATGACGAAAGTGACCACCCCTGAGAGACCAATAGATGAGTGGGCGGATGACGTCAAACCGAGCTTTGTCATCCAGGGACTGATGGACTCTTTTGGCCCCGGATGTAAAGGTAGATACAGACAGCATTGAGTATATTTGATATCAAACTACATTCCTTCTTAGCAATTAGGTTATACTTCGAACCATACTCAAACCGGCTATGTAATAAACGACATTCAATGAGCTTGTTTGTTCCAATTTGAATAGATAAGAAAGGCATATAGGTTATCTCGCCAAGCCCCGCTAAATACAATGTTTATTCCTAATGCAGGATATCAACCATCCCAAAACACACGAGTGTGATAACCTATTTACAATACAATGTCATTCTTACTTTATAATTTATAAAAATGCGATTTCATTTGCCACAAATCATGAAATGTGCCCACATATGACGTCACAAATATATGCGTAGGTGACGCTATTTTTAACCTGGTCACTCATTTGACTGCATTACGTCATATAGTTCCTAGTCAGTTTTTATGTTAAAGCACGTATATTGTTGCCAACAAATCTTAGCTTACGTTTGAAAAATAGCAACAAACTCTCGTGGAAATTCCGAAACCGCAAATTTTGAACAGCAAATACACTTTAATGTTCGCGTAACGTTGTGCACCTGGATTCCTAGTGCCATTCTCTCGCTAACACTAACAGTCGGTCGGGGAAGTGATGTTGGTATCTTCGTAAACCTATGAATTTCTATCTTCGCTTTGTAATCTACTCCATCAATCATAACCAGGCATTAAAATTTTCTTGGATCAAAGCACTGACAGTACCGTTTCCACGGCCGTCAATCCGGACACGACCGCCGACCATTGACGCCATGTTTGTTTACACTGTGAAAGTAGTCCCTAAAATTTGCATATGACCTCTCTAATTTGCATCGATATCCGTATATGACCCCAACTGATACCGAAAATATTCGTTGGCTTTATCCTCCCGAGAACACTATCCATTGTATGATAAACACAAATATTCGCTGATTGTTTTAAAGTTACGTAAGGGATAGCATGGGGTTGCTGTATGATGCTAGTGACTTTGCTTTTGTAAATATCATGAGGTACATGGAAAAAGTGTTCTTCTTAGGTTCCACTGTTGTGTATGGTCCCTTTAGTGTAACAACGTGTAATTGTAAACATAAAGAGTACTGATAGCTACTTTAATCAGTTGTTTTTACCTGATGTATACCCTTGAATGCTGCGCCGCTGCATGATTGCCACTTGATTGAAATCTGTAGGATAATCAGATGAAAGTGATAGGGTCAAACTATTCACTCACATAACAGTAATTTAGACATATACTTGTAAAATATTCTTTATATGTGAAATGTTTAAAAATTTTGAGATTTTCTTTATGTGTGAGATAGCTGACACAAATTAAGCTTTAGGTAAATCAGCATATAACAAATACTCATTCACATCAGGTATATATGACAAAATATAGCAACATGCATTGTTAGTTTCTTTTCATCAATCTATCCGTTTTTCGTGCAGAGGCAAAAGATTGCACATGCTGTCGGGGAGAAGGGGAGACAACTCCTGCGACCGTGTGGTGTTCGGCATGCGATGACGCCTTGTGTGAAGCATGTGCCAGGGCACACAGACGTTTTCCAGCCACTCGTCACCATGACGTACTTGATCTTTCTGGGTCTGAGGGAAATATATCCAGGAGACGTAAAGTGATGTGTAATGAACACAAGGATGAGTGCATCAAATTCCTGTGTAAAGATTGCAAGAAAGTCACCTGTCACACCTGTTGTGTTATCTATCACAGGAAATGTGAGTCAGTTGTCACACTGGAGACGGAATTACCTGCATTAAAGTCCCAGCTGTTGAAAAAGAAGGAAACTATTTCGAAGAAGCAAATCCAAATGGAAGCAAAAGTTAATGCTGTTAAAGTGAACGTCGTTTCTGAAAAAGATCGATATGCAAGGATGGAACATGACATAAAGTCTTTTGGTAACAACGCGAGAGAAAAGATAACTCTCATAGTAAATAAACTTCTAGATGAACTGAAAGAAGTTTCTGAAAAGCACATTGAACAACTGACAGCCGACCTAAAGTCGGGTGAAATATCAGTACAGATGTACCGACAGCAGGCTGAGCTGATAGACCAGATTCTACAATCTGAGTGTGACATGGACGTGTATGAGATGTATCAGGGATGTGAGGCCGGTGATGTGGATGCTGTTGGAGACGTAGACGTGAAGAAGAGGGGGAGAATAGCCAGGATCATGTTGAGACAGAACCAAGACATGTAGAGTACAGCACTGGGTGAAATAGATGTCTATTATGATGGAATGCAGGACCTAAATGCCGCCTCTGTGTCACAAAACACCAGTAGCGTGCTGGACCTGAAGGCTGCTCTTGTGTCACAAGACACTGATAACGTACTGGATCTGAAGGCTGTCCCTGTGTTACAGGACACCATTAACGTTAGGGTAGCAGGAGATATGAAAGAGGTATACGTAAGTGACGTAACGGTGTTGATGGTGCATGGTTCAGACACAGCGGTTGTCACAGATACCTACAAAAACAGTGTGAAGTCCTTCTACACCTGGAACAAACAGCGAGGTCACAGCAAGCTCAAACTGGGAGGTGCACTGCTGGGTGTAACAAGACTGACACACGACCAGGTGGCTGTCACTGTGCCGAACATCAGTCAGATTGTAACAGTGCGAAGCAACCCTGGACTTGTTCTGATGTCAACCATCACAACCATCAAGCAGTACAGGGGTATAACGTGTCTGACACCATCAACACTAGCAGCAGGTTCTGAAAGATGTGTGGATATTCTGGACATGACAGGAAACGTACTAAGGTAAATTAGCCCTGTAGATAGTGGGGAGGAAATCATACATGGTCCAGACTTTCTTTGTACAACAAGGACAGGAAACATCCTGGTGTCAGATGGCAGTTCCGGGCGTGTCCTGTGCCTGACAGCTGAAGGGGACGTTGTGTTTACCTACCCTGCGACAGGACACACAACACTGAGAAGTCCTTGTGGTATCACAAGTACCAGCACAGGTGACATCCTGGTTACTGACTACGGTGAACATACAGTTGCTCATCTGACTGAGTCGGAACAGTTTGTCAGAAACATACTCATTTCTGTGGACGGCGTCTTGTACCCTTTCGGCGTTTGTGTAGATGGACGTGGCCGTGTGTATGTATGCAATTACATCTCAGGTGAAATTCAAGTTTTCACTTGCAGTATCATTGTATAGATCACTGATGTTTCGATCAACTTATTATTCCATATGAAGATAAGATAATTAACTATATTTACCATGACCTGTAAACTGCAGACTGACTGACCTTTTGTTGACAGATCACAAGATATACAGCGTGACTCGGTATAGCTACGTAGTAAATAGCAACTCATGCCAAGGTTTATATGTAAAATGAACGCCCGAGCGGAGCGCGCACAGGACGCCGTACCCAAGAACACACGTCGGAGGAACAAATGGGTGGTGAATACCTTCAGCGACTGGGCTATTTGGAGGAATAAAAACCGCCTTAAAGAAGAGAAGATTCTTACCATGCTTGATGTCATGGATGACGCACAACTATCATTCTGGTTGAGTAGGTTCGTGAGGGTGACAACAGCAACCAAACTCTTCGAGAAAGGGATCCCCGAACAACTCATAATGGAACGAACTGGGCACAGGAGTGTTTAAGGTAAGTTGTTTCGTATTAACAAATGTACACAGTTCATGCTTAATCCTTTTGAATTGACAACATGAAACTATTTTTTAGTCAAGTCAAGTTTATTGTATTCAAGGCCTCCGGCCCATATACAAGGAGTTGCATACATATACATAACTACAGTATATAATACAATGCCAATTATAATGGTTATTGCTTAGATAAGCTATCATTTCTCAAGACAACAGCATGTTTTACAAATAGAGAAAGGTTACGGATTACAGTTTCATTTCTGGAAGTGAGAATCGAGAGAAAGGCTATCGTTGGATATTTGATAGATAATTACTTGAAATATATTTTCTTCTAAGATCATCATAATATGGACATACAAATATAAAATGAATTTCATCTTCAATAGATGAAGTGCATAATGGACAAATTCTCATATTTCTTTCTATAGACAATCTTCTTCCTTTATTAATACTTACATCTAATAAACCTAGTCGGAGCTGAACAAATGTGCGTCTGATATTTCTTGATGTCAATACAGATAAATATATTTCTTGTTGGATAAGGCTCTTAAAGGACCTATATAGATCATACCTTGAACTATTTTCGAGAGTCGAATGCCATTCTTGATGGAACATATTAACTGACTGTTCTCGGAAACTTTTAAGAAACAAAGTTACATTACCCACTGTCTGATTTAACCATGCAAATCCAAGGCCATCAGAAAATAAAAGATTTCTAATATGTGAAGCCCAAGTTGTCTTGCCCATGTTACTCGGTTCCGAATTGCGCAGATCGATGCTCATGCTGTTGATCACTGGATTGTCTGGTCCAGACTCGATTATTTACAGACCGCCACCATATAGCTGGAATAATGCTGAGTGTGGCGTAAAACTTAACTCACTCACTTGCCCATGTTATCAAGATGAACAAGCATATTATAAGCTATTTTAGGTATTCGTTGTTCATGCATTTCCAGAATCTTAAGCCAATACTTCAAACATCTGATTTGTGAATTTATATAAACTGGATATCTCCCACATTCCCCATAAACCATACAATTTGGCGTTGCTTGTCCAACGTTTAGAAATCTTTTACAAGCTAAGAGATGAAGTTTCTCAAGACATTCTTGACGCTGAAACCCCCCAAACTTCTGACCCATAAAGCATAATCGGTTGAATTTGTGAATCAAACAGTTTGAAAAATATGTTTGGAGTGAAGGCACCTATATTCTGAGAAACAGACAGAACATTTATGAAAGCCTTCTTTGCACGTGATAGCAAATCAAGAACACTTTTTTTTAAATTCATCGTGTGAGAAAACATAAAACCAAGGTAGGTATAGTGATTAGAGATAGTCAGTAACTTGCCATTGAAAAAAACCCATTTCTCTTTTGAAGCGACGGGACCGCCTCTTCTGAAGATTACAATATTTGTTTTCTCGAAATTAACAGAGAGTTTCCAATCGTTTGTGTAACGTTCTAAGATATTGAGTTGATTTTGTAAGCCAGTAATAGTATCGGACACCAAGATCACACCATCAGTAAAAAAGTAGGATGAAAATTTCAAGCATATCAGGAAACATTTGAACGCCGTGTTTACCAGAGATTGTAATATCGTAATACAGTTCACTTATAAAGAAAGAAAACAACATTGGACTTAAGATACAGCCCTGTCGTAACCCTATGGGACAATCAAAGAAGTCGGTTACATCATCACCACAACGTACACACGGTTTTATGTTAGAATACATTGACTTTAGAATATTATACATTGTAAATCAGATTTTTTTTAACAATACCACAATTTGGAACGACCTACAGAGTCAAAAGCTTTCTTGAAATCAACAAAAGCAACATATAATTTGCTTCGTGAATGACATTTTTGGATTATGGCATATAATGTGAAAATATGATCTGCAGTTGAATATTTTTTCCTAAAACCGGCTTGGCATTCAGGAATCAGGTTTCTCATATTTGACCAATTTGAAATTCTGTTATTTAATATGGTTGCAAATACCTTGCCTAAAATACTCATTAACGATATACCTCTATAGTTATCCGGGGTGTCTAAAGCTCCTTTTTTATGCAATGGAACAATAATTGAACGAGACCAGTTATCTGGAAATACACCTCTATCAAATATAGAATTGAAACATTTGCGTAGGAAGGGCATTAACTCGACCTGAGAACATTTGATCATTTCAATCACAACGTTGTCAGGTCCAGCTGCCTTACCACTCTTTAAATGAGTAATCGCATTTTTAATTTCATCATCAGAAATTTGTGTTTCTAAAATCAATTTATCGATACTTTCATATACCTAATCAAGATTGAGATCACGAACATCATCATCAAAAACAATTTTATCGTTCTGAAGAATAGAATCATTAGAGAACACTTTGAAAATTACCATTTAAGATTTGGGTTTTTTTATCGGGAGGCGGAAAGAAATAATACTGCCTCCTTACATAGATATAAGTATCAATGAACTTGTTTGAATTTTATAAATGGGCGTATGAGGACTGAGTTAATATGTTCATATAGTATCGTTTAGTCATGTTCATGTTGGTCACAAATTGATTAGAAAAATTCATTGTAATTAATCATTATCAAAATTAATTGACATATCTTGAATAACACAAATACTACAAATTATCATCCAACTCTTTATTTTGCAGGTTATCGTAACTACACACGGACATCAGAAGGCCAGAAGATCGAGGTCAGCGCCGTGATTAACATTTCTCCGACCAGTGCAACAGCAACTGACTGTAGTACAGATGTGAGTGAGAAGACTGATACCGCAGCCCCGAGCGAGATCAGATGCACGAGTGATGTTCCTCCAATGTCAGGCGGAATCATTTTGGCATAAAATTGCACCATCAATGTAGTGATCAAGAAATAAAGTATACTGAGTCAAAAAAGAAACTTCACATTCCTTCTTCAGGGCACTATAAAAGAACAAAAGATGGTAAGATGGTTAAATTGTTATCATTTCATTGCTGAGATCTGTGTGATGTACTCGATACACTGACAGTGCCATAATCAGTTCCATTAGGCTACACCGCCGTTCCAAAACATGGGTATACAGAATGTCAAGTCACAAGAATAAAAATGCGAAATTTCTCAGTTCAATATCGTGTATGGCCGCCCCGCGCATTCACCACTGCCAAACACCGTCTCTTCATCGAGTGCCTGATGCTTGTGAACACGTGGTTGGGGATTCTGCGCCATTGCTCTTGCAAGGCAGTGCCAAGTTCCTGCAAATTCTGAGGTTGGTTGTTAAGACCACGAAGCCTTCTCCCAAGTGCATCCCAAACGTGCTCTATTGGATTAAGGTCAGGGGACCTCGATGGCCAGTCCATGACGTTGATTCCAGCGTTTTGAAGGAAATTTCGTGTCAACATCGCGGTATGCGGCCGAGCATTATCATGCTGGAACTGTAGACCTTGGCCATGAGCCGCCATGGAAGGAACGAGTTCAGGGGTGAGCACCTGGTCGCGGTAAGCAGCAGCTGTGAGGTTTCCACGGATGACCAGAAGTCGGGAACGGTTGTCCCCACAGAAAGCACCCCACACCTTGCAACTTCCGTCCCCGAATCTG